ACATTCTTCTCTTTGTCAAGGCATTAATAGCCTGGCTATAGCTAAAAATATGAGAGGCCAAAAGAAAGGAATATAATAACCTTCAGCCTCAAAGAATTATATTTTTGAATTTCACTAAATGCTTCAACCAATGTGCAGTCCTGGAAGTAACATCTCACATTCAGAATTTAAACAGATTCTTAATAATACCTAGTTCCATGTTTGTTTTTAATAATTTCCAAGCTGTTACTTCAAACTAAAAATATCACATCCTTGAAGGCAAGCCTCTTATGTCCTTAGAGATTAGGACAGTGCTTGGCATAAAACTATGCTAAATAAGTTTTTTTTTTTCAATCTGAATAAGAATTCACACCTCATTTTTGGCAAAGCATAAAATTTATCGAAACTAACCACTTGTTTTCTCCACTTTTGCATATGCACTATTGAGCATAACCAGAAATATTCTCAAAACAAGGAGCTCAGTTCCACAATTTCACGCTCACCTCCACTGGATCCCTTTCCTGCTCCCAATTACTTTATTTAAAAATAAATTATTATTTTATTTATAACAGTCACTAACTGACTCTTCCTAACCACCCTCAGCCCTACAGCAACCATTCCAAAGCTTCCTCACTCTCAAGTCCCCAATACTCTTCTCCACTTCCTCATTTTTTGTGTGTGTGTGTGACCGGTAAGGGGATTGCAACCCTTGGCTTGGTGTTGCCCGCACCGCACTCAGCCAGCGAGCGCACTGGCCATTCGGCCATCCCTATATAGGATCCGAACCCAGCGCCGCACGCTCCCGAGTGAGCCATGGGGCCGGCCCCACTTCCTCATTTTTGATCTTGATCTATCTTTCTCAGAGGACTGAAACCCATGATATCCCTCTTCTTCACTTCAACATTTCTGTTTTCACCCTCCTCTTCTCTGGATTCAGTGGACAGAATATCCCTCCTTTTCACCTGCATTCTCTGTCACCATTTCCACTCTAGTAGGACCAGTCTCCTCACCTTCCTCCCCAACCTCCCCCCAAAATACCTTGGATTTTTCTCTTCTAACTTCCACTTTGGCCTCACTTCACCAGAAATGGCCTCTTCCATCTATTTCCATATTCAAACTGTAACAAACCTTCAAGAAACTACTCTAGTAAGCACAGACCAACGCATCTGTATTAGTTTTTTCTCCTCTCAGCACCCCCAAAGCACTTAATGTGTATAATACTTATATCATAACTAACTGCATCCCACCTTCTGAATATATCTTATACTACAACTCTTTTTTCTGTGTCTTTTTCCCCAAAAGATGATATTTATAAGCTATTCTAGGGCAAGAACTGTCTTCTACCACACCTTACGAGAGTCCCCCATTTACAGTGTGCACTCAAATATTTTTTGATAATAGAGTGGATTTTTTGATATTAGATATTTGATATTAGATATTTTTTGATAATAGTTTGCTCAAAAATGAACTTTTCTATCACTCCCACTGTATTCATCATTGTACTGAATGTACTGATCCTTTCATTTCAATTTAGTTAATGTATGTATTCTTACCCTTTGTTCATATAAAACTTTCTCTTACAGAATATATCCAATTTCTTTTCTGTCAGTTTCAACATCAGTCAGTCACCATGGCTGGCTCTTTGTATCAACAATAAAAATAGTCACTATTCTTGAATACCTAATTCCTGCCAGACACAATGCTAGATAATCTATTTATAGTACCTTTAATTTTCACAATAATCATGCATTTTACAAAGGAGGAAACTGAGGCTCAGAGGGATTAAGTACTTGTCCTCCAACTTTTCTCCCTTCAATCTATCCTCTACCCCTTAGCTAGAGTGATCTTCTTAAAACCGAATCTGATCTGCCTACAGATCTTCAAGGCTTCCCACTGTCTTAAATTCCAAGCTCCTTAACTTGGCATAAGGTGACCTTCAGGATGCCTCTTTTCTCATCACTCCTCAAACCAACTGCTTTCAGTTCTTGGACCATACCATGCTCTTTCTCCTCTTGCCTCTGGACTTGGCACAGAGCTCCCTTATTCATTCACTCAACAAATATATATATATTTTTTTAATTTTAATTTTTATTGAATCAAAATTGATTATACATATTTTGGGGTTTCAACATTGAGATATTTTGAGCAAATCAATATTACTAGCATATATATTGTTACAAATTGTAATTATTCTTTACGACCCTTGTCCAATCCCTCTTCATCCCCCTTTCTCTCCCCCCTCCCCCCTCTAATCACCCTAGATTTCTTCTCTCCCTCTGAAAGAATAATGGTTACTCTGTTGATTTGCTGCCCAAATGATCTGTCCAATGCTGAGAGGCATGATCAGGTCCCCCAGTACTATCATAGAGCAGATTCAACAAATATGTATTAAGTACCCACTATGTGCCTGGTATTGTACTTGCTGCCGGGCACATGGTGGTGAATAAAACAGACCTAAGTCCTGCCCTCAAGGTATTTAAGGTCTAATGGAACAGACAAATAATAAGTACAATAATTACAGATTGTGATAAGCAAAGTGACAGAAGCAAGACGTTGTACAGGGAGTCTTCAAAAAGTTCATGGAAAGATTAGTATTATCTTGTAATTAAATTTTTTCTATGAACTTTTTGAAGTACCCTCATATTATAGAACATCTAGGATTGGGAAGTGGAAGAAAATCCACAGTGATTGTTTTAGACAGTTTGGTCTGGCAAAAATGTGGCCATTTTCA